CACCTCTCTTTCTCCCTCAAGCCAAGCCCCACAACCAGCTTCTCCAACCGCTGCCCCACTTCCCCTCCTTCTCCCCTTCCCGGGGGCTTCCCGGCTTCCCTAAGAGGCGCCTTTGGTCTCGCTTGGAACTCTGAAAGAGGGAGGGGGCTCTTCCAGGAAGGAAAAGACGGGAGCACCTTCGGGGCGGAAACAGGAAGTGGCTTCTAGACTTCCTGTCTGCTCGTCTAGGAACTAGGATTCCAGGGCTCTATCTCCTTTGGAGGACCATCACTCTCTGGATCATCGAGTCCAGCCGCTTGTCAAGGAAGAACCTGAACCCAGAACCCCGCAGTCAGAGGCCTAAAATCCCTGCGCCGTCTCTCCAGCAGCAAAGAAGAAAGACACTTTCAATGGACAGATGTTGGACAGAACAATTGAGACTCCGACCACATTTTTTCGGAATAATTTTTATCCTAGAGCTATAATTGCGCTTATTTATGAACTTAAAGACCACCAGCAGTTGGTGCAGATGTTTGTGTCCCTAGTGGGGGATTTTTAGTGGGTGGGGAGTGTTTGGGGATTTTTTATGTGTGTGGGTCTGGTCTCTGGGTTTCTGTGTCAGTTTCATTGTATGTGTATACTATGTACTGTATATACTTACAATGGCAATATATTATAGAAAAAAATAGGAAACAGGTTGTGGTGTGCATCGGAAAAGGAGTCTCGTACAACAGGAGTCCATCTTCCTCTCTGTTCTGTGCCCAGTTCGGCTCCTGCTGCCCACTGACAAGGCTGTGGTGGATGATGAATTGGTTTGGAGAGATTCACTGACTTGCTTTCTGCGAAACTCGTGTTTCATCATAACAGCCAAAGAGATGCTTTATATTAGACTTAACTCTCTGCTTCATATTCAAGAATGTATGAAGATCATCCAGTTTTCCTTTGGTTGAATGGGTACTTTATTTAATCAAAGATCAGATAGGTGGTTTAGTCATAATAATAAATAACACTAATTATGTGCGGCCTAGGGGTGGGACTTCCTGCTGTAAAAGAGCATGTCCCAGGACCGCGCGCCATTAATTCTCAAATTTTGTATCTGGCCTTAATATGGTAAATAGAAAAGCCAATTAGATTTGCATAAGCCGGGGAGTTAGGACAGTTTTAAGGATCAGATCATACTTTTGCACTATTAAAGAGCAGGCCGGGTAGGTGGGGCTCGTCAGCCATGGAAGGCAGCCTATCTAGGAGAAGGAAAACTCCGATTTCAAACCTCCACTGCCTTGTGGCTATATCTACTCATGGAAAAGGCTTCAGGAGTTAACCTCGAGGCAAAATCCGGAGCTGGAGTCCCGAAGGCAGCTCGTGTCGTTCTGCCAACTACTGCGACGTTGTTGGAACCAGTCGTATTGGCTCTTGCCTTTCCATTGGACCATTTCAGCAATGTGGAGAGGGGGGATCTGCTTGTTACTTCAACAATGTATGAAGATCATCCAGTTTTCCTTTGGTTGAATGGTTACTTTATTTAATCAAAGACCAGATAGGTGGTTTAGTCATAATAATAAATAACAATAATTATGTGCTGTCAAATCAATCCTGTCTTAGGGGATTGAAACTCTTCTGAGTATAAAGTATCCAGAATTGCTTTCCCGTTCTCTTGTTCTAGTTGTGCCCTGGGACTGTAAAGCGTGCACAAAGTTACACAGGCTGGCTCTTTTCTTAGGGAGCACAGTGATGAATTAAACCTCTGAATTCAACTCCCTGAGCTATCCCGCCAGGGGTGTATGTATGTTTTAATCTTCCTGTGTACATAGGGGCAACCTTTACTTTTAAGTTAGGCATATTAAACCTAGCCCTCTGCCTTGTATCCTATTTCTTCAATTATCTCTGAGATTCATCTGTTTTGCTTTTCAGTGGAACAATTACTTGGCTACATTCTGGGGGAAAAATTGAGGTGTAACTCATCTGCGCATTTGGGGTTTTCATTACATCTGCCCGAATTCTGGTTGGGGAAATTCCTGGTGAATTCTGGAAGTTGTAGTGCAAAATTTATTTTTTTTAAAAAGTGTCTGGAAAACATGAATTTGTTTTATGTGTTTTATAAATTTGCATGCTTTTTAATGTATTTCCCTGGACTTGATCTAAACAAACCATGATTATAGTCTCCATCTAGATAATAAATACTTCTAATGCATCATTCTCAGCGGTGTCGATTCTTCAATGATTTATAACGTACATTCTCTGTTCAAAGGTCTCTATTCACTCTCCACACTTCAGCAACATTTCTCCCTTCGATTCTGTAATGAGTTCTTAGACTTGTACTGTGACAGAATCTCTTTCCACACTGCAAGCATTTATAGGGTTTCTCTCCTGTGTGGATTCTCATATGGGAAACCAAGTCCCTGCTGTGATGAAAGCTCTTTCCACATTCTAGACACTTAAAGGGTCTCTCCTCTGTGTGGACTGTCTGGTGTAAATGGAGATTGCTTGTATTACGGAAGTTCTTCCCGCATTCCAGGCATTTAAATAGCTTCTCTCCTGTGTGGATTCTCATGTGGAAAGTAATGCTCCTTCTGATAAAAGCGCTTTTCACATTCCCAGCATTTATTGGGTTTCTGTCCTCTGTGGTGTCTCAGATGACAAGCAAGACCTGTGCTCTGGCTGAAAGTCTTTCTGCACTCCAAGCACATATCGGGTTTCTCCCCTATGTGGATACCATGATGGGAACTAAGGTTGCTTCTGTCACTGAAGCTCTTCCCACATTCCAGACATTTATATGGTTTCTCTCCTGTGTGGATTCACATATCTCTTCCCAGGGACGAATAATAATTATTAATTTTTCAAAGTTTTCATTTTTCTTAAACTACAACTTAAACATAAACGTAAAATACATAAACCAAAATGCAAATCAACTGTGTTCACCACCAGCATAGTTGGGACCTCTTGAAGTAATCCTCTTCTTCCTCTATCTTTCTTCTTTTTTCTTTATTGTCCTATTCTCCATGAATTCTTACAGAGATATTTGTTGTACTGTATTCTGAGCCTTTCTGTAGCTTCCTTCCATCATGGGCTTCCCAGTGAGCTTTTAGACTGGCGTGACAATTGAAGTTTTCCTTGAACACAGAGCACTCAAGCCTTCCATTGCTTTGATCCATTTCTTCTATGACATAGATTTCTCGGAAATTCCTCAAGAGGGAAGGGAAAGAGTCATGCCTTCTTTTCCAAATGATTTCAGTTTTTCCGTCTGTTACTTCTCATCTTTCTCAGGGATGTTTTCCGAGAACACTTCATGCAGTTCGTCTTCAATCTTATTTTGTCTTGCATCAGGAGCTTATAAAGGAGAAAATCAAAACCCACATTGACCAAAAACATCATAAAGAATCTGAAGTGGAAAAAACCTAACATAATGTAAGAGGATATTTATTGATACAGTATGACTGCCTTATCCACTGATTCCCTTGTCCACGGTCTGAAAATATTAAAAACATTTAAAGAAAAATCCTGGAAATGTATATTTCTGGTTGTGAACTTACCAGAACAAGACACTAGATGGAGCCAGAAGCCATGCTATATACAGTGGTGCCTCGACTTACGAACTTAATCCTTTCCAGAATGATGGTCGTAATTAGTAATTATTGTACATTGAAGCACCATTTCCCATAGGAATGCATTGGAACGCGATTAATCTGTTCCAGCCGAAAAAAATTACCCCAAAAAACCCAGACAAACAAACAAACAAACAAACAACCCTACCACTGCAAGACCCATCAGACACACCAAAACACACAATGAATCACAGCACAAACCCTACCACTGCAAGCCCCATCAGACACACCAAAACACACAATGAATCACAGCACAGAAACATAATCCCCCCAGCCCAAACCTAACCTGCAAAACCCTGTAAATGTACTTAATCAGAAGCAGAAAGCAGCAGCAGGCACTCTCAATCCTCCTCCAACAAACACACTCTAACCGTTGGGGCGAAAAAGCTACAAAGAAGTAGCTACTTTGCCGACCAACGGTTAGTACATTTGAATTCCCTGCCTTTTTCCCTACCCTTTTCTGGTTGTAACCCGAAGCTCTGGTCGCAAATAGAAGCAAAATTTTGTGACCAGAGTTGGTCGTAACCCGAAATGGTCATAAGTCGAGGCACCACTGTTGCAAATAGAAGCAACATTTTGTGACCAGAGTTGGTCGTAACCCTAAAAGGTCATAAGTCGAGGCACCACTGTATACAGTCATCTTCACTATAGAAACATACTTGAACTATGTAATTACCAGAGGTGGCCATTAGGTGGTATCAGAGACCATGCTATGTACAGCAGGTGGCCACTAAGTGGTATCAGAGACCATGCTATGTACAGCATTCACTATTAAAATTGGGTTCTCTACAGTGGATATAAAAAGTTTACATACCCGTGTTAAAACGTGAAGTGTCTGTGATGGAACAAAATGGGACAAAGGTAAATCATTTCAGAATTTTTCCTACCTTTAATGAGACCTATGAACTGTACAACTCAGTTGAACAACAAACTAAAATCTTAGGTGGAGGGAAGTAAAGATAAAAAACTAAAACAATCCGCCACTTATCCGCACAGTGGCTTTCATATGGGTTGATATTTAAAAATGCACAAAGTTCCAGTTTTCAGTCATTGAGCTGCAGTTAACAAAACAATTGTATTGATTATGTCTTTGCTTTCACCTGACAAATTATTGGATTTTGTAATTCATTGCCCTTTTTCACTATAACATAACTGTAAGCGGCCCTGGGTCCTACAAAGGAGGCAGATGGGCAACAAATGGAATAAACAAGACAGTAAATAAATGTATAATCATTTTTATTGCTACTGTTATTACACATTACTCTTCAAACTTTCATTTATACTATGTTTCGTGTTCCAGGTTGTCTACAAACATCAAGAAAAGAGATTTAATAAACAAGCAAATGAAAAACAACGTCAGCTGCAAACCCATAAAAATCAGTTGAGTCAATAATGCAGGGAACTGGAGTCACCACGACTAATATTAATGATCCTGCTCTTTTTCTTGGGGGCTGTGAGGACAGGACCAGTAGCCATAAGATTTGCAGCAAAACAAA